ACCTTGAGGGTGTTATGCTGAGCGAAATAAGTCAGGCAGAGAAGGACAAATATCATATGTTTGCACGTATAGGAGGATTAGGAGGAACTTAACAGAGGACCAAGGGGGAGAAGAAGCGGGGAAATGGTGGGGGAAGGGGAGAGAGGCAAACCATGAGAGACTCTTGAATGCTGACAAAAACTGAGGACTGATGGATGTGGGGGGGGAGGGGGGGATGGGCATAGAGGAGGACATTTATGGGGATGAGCACTGAGTGTTATGTGGAAACTAATTTGACAATAAACTATTTGTAAAAAAAAAAAAAAAAAAAAGAAGCTGTGTGGTCTCTGATGACCTAGTCTTGGAAGTCACAGAGAGTCATTTTCACTGTATTCTACCAGTCAAAGCAGTCATTGATTGTCCTGATTAAAAGGGAGGAGACAAAAAATTTACATAGACTGTATCAGTGTCATATAGTGTATGATACCGTTGATGGGAGATGCGTCAAAGAATCTGCAGCTATGTTTGAAAACCACATAGCGATTGTCCATGAGAAGAGGAAATGAAGGTTCGAGGCAGGAAGGGAACTCATATTTTGTTGAGTGTCTGTGTACATGGATTATTCATTCAATTCAAAAAGAATTTAAAGAAATGCATTCATGTAGTATAAATCCCTTGTGTCTGATCTCCATCCTGTATTGTTATCATTACTATAATATTATTTTCTACCATTATTATGTGCCAGGTGCATTGAGCACAATATCATCTTATGATCTGCAAAATACAGTCTAAACGTAGATCAAATCAAAAGAAGAGTTCTTTTACTGTTAAATCGGGTTCTTGGGCTAGAGCCCCAAAGGGTAAAGGAACTAAATGATTAGAAGTAGCTATACTTTTTTTTTAAGAGAGAGCGAGCAGGGGAGAGGGCCTTGGAGAAAAAGAAAGAGAGAGAGAATGAGAGAGAGAAAGGATCTTAAGCAGGCTCCGTGCCCAGTGTGGAGCCTGATGCCACCCTCAATCCCCCAACCCTGGGATCATGACCTGAGCCGAAATCAAAAGTTGGACTCTCAGCTGACTGAGCCACCCGGGTACCCCAAGAAGTAGCTATACTTTTCTTATGGCCTTACACACATCTCATTCAACAAAGGCCTTATACACATCTCATTCAGCAAAGGCCTTATACACATCTCATTCAACAAAGGCCTTACACACATCTCATTCAACAAAGGCCTTATACACATCTCATTCAGCAAAGGTATGTGTCTACTATGTATCAGACACTGCCTTAGGTATTTCCAATAAGCCTATACTATAGAATCTCAGAAAAACAGCTAGTGTAGGAATGTGTGTATACACACACACACACACACAATTGTTTTTAAATGTTATTTATATTTACTATATATGATATTATATATTATTGGCATAAGCAGAAAGAATCGTAGGCACTAAGAAGTTAACTAACTCATACCTAAACACTTCCTAACAGATGGAGCTGACGTTCAGACCCAGATCTGTGTGACCACACACAGCTTGGGCTCCCCCTCACATTTCCTGATACCAGAAAGTGGACATCTGAGATCATTTCTGAAAGCACTTAGAATAGGATGATGTGGTAACATACAGCATAATTTAGCATAATTCTTTTTTTAAAAATTTTTAAATGTTTGTTTATTTTGGAGAAAGAGACAGAGACACAGAGTGTCAGCAGGGAAGAGGCAGAGAGAAAGGGAGATGCAGAATCCAAAGCAGGCTCCAGGCTCTGAGCTGTCAGCACAGAATCTGATGTAGCGCTCAAACTCATGAACTGTGAGATCATGATCTGAGCTCAAGTTGGAACGCTTAACTGACCGAGCCAAGCAGGCACCTCTGATTTAGCATAATTCTTAAGAGCCCATGGTGATCCCACTTTCTGCACTTGAAAAAGACAGAACAAAAATCCTGTCCCATTGACCTGGCCTGGAAATAATCCAGCCTGGTGGAGAGAGCCAGTGTGTTACCAAATACAGGCCAGGAAAGGACCCCCTCATGTAAGGACTCCCAATATTAAAGGTTTTCTCAGTAAAGGATGCATGTAATAGATGTGGCTTCCTGAAAGTAGTATTTAGGTTTCTTTATTTGCAATGCAATTGCAGAACCTCTGCTCTGTGCAAAGGCCTGGCTTCCAGAAATCTACAGCCAAATAACTAGAGTGCGTCGAGTTTCTTCTTGGGTCACATCACATTGACCTTTCCGAGATGTGTGTGCTCACATGTGCTCCCTTGCGCTCTCTCTCTCTCTCTCTCTTTCTCATTTTACATTGCTCTGCTGTTTAGGTCCATGCTCTTGCACTGTCCTGGGAAGGAAAATCAGAGAGACAGACACAGTTTCCTAAATGGCTGTGGCAGGTCTAGTGTGGGGTGGCCCCGAGCAGCAGGGGCGGACTAGCTGCTGATGGGTGTCGGCACACGAGCACTGGAGCAGTCGGGGAAGTGTACGGGCACAGGAGGCAGGTGCCAGCAACCAAGGCGTGGGCTCACAGGTTAGGTGGGACTGCTAAAGCAAGGGCTGACAAAGTGCCCATCCTCTCTGTGATCGGAGCTCAGAGGACAAGGGAGCTGCTAGAAAAGATCAAAGCTCTGAACCAGTGACTCCTGTACAGCACACGGACTCTACCATGGCAGGAGTTACCGGGATCACAACTGCCCTGGCCGATGCTATCACCCCAAGCGGCGCAAAGCAAGTAGACGTGGCGCTCTCCTCTGTACGACCATAGACCGGTCATTCACTATGCGCACGCCTTGAGAGCCAGCCTCGGGGCCCAGATAGCCAATGGGGCTTTTGCTCCTTGCAGCCGCAAGAGCCGTCCCTGGGATGAACTGGACTTCCTTCTCATTATCTATGTATACTGTGTGCTGTCCCTAGCAAAAATGTGACTCTCGGGTGAAGAGTTTGGTTGTTTTTAAATTTCCTCAGCAAATAGTTATTGAGTACCCGTGGTGTGCCAAGCATCAAGCTTGTGCCCTAAAAGAGCTATAAAGACACAATCCCTATGTTTAAGGACCTCTCAGATAAGTAGCAGAAACAAGGCATATAACTCCAGAGGACAAATGCACAGCTGTATCAGTGACAGGAACTAGATTCGAACTGGGTCTCCTAACCTCATATTGTTCTCATTCTACCACGCTGCCTGCAATGGGTTCCCCTCCCCTCGCCCCCCCCCCCCCCCCCCCCCGCGCATACCTCATGTGCTGTACAAGCTTGGGGAAGTCGCTTCACAACTTTGGCCCTCACTTTTCCTCCTCTGGGAAATAAAGCGGTGGAAGATCCCTAGATCCCCTGCCAACCATGACATTCTGTCATTAAGGACAGCATAAAGAGATAGCCATCACTATGGTATTGTATTTTTTTTAATGTTTATTTTTGAGAGAGACAAAGCTCAAGCAGGGTAGGGGCAGAGAGAGAAGGAGACACAGAACCCTAAGTAGGCTCCAGGCTCGAAGCTGTCAGTGTAGAGCCAGACATGGAGCTCAAACTTGCGAACCATGAGATCATGACCTGAGCCAAAGCTGGATGCTTAACCAATTGAGCCAACCAGTTGCCCCTCGTATTGCATATTTAAGGGGACCATACATCCCAGTTGGCCCAGAATTGTCCCTTCAATCCCCAACCATGCTGGTTTGGAAGATGAATTATATGGTCATCCTTTGTATATATGAAATGCCAAATTAAAGAAACCATGCCAGTTGATACAAAAGCTAGGAAGTAGCTTTTGATCATGCTTAGCACAGAAGAGTTTCATTAGGTTTGATCTTGTATCAGTTAGCATTTGTTGTGTAACACACCACCCCAAAACTTAATGGCTTAAAAAAATAAGCAATTTTTTAGTCCAGAATTCTATGAATTGACCATTTGATCTGAGCTCAACTGAACAGTTCTGCTCACTTATATTAAGTCTGAGGGCTTGTTGATATAGGAGTATCTCAGCTCCAAAAGCTCATTTCTGCACCACATGGTATCTTATCTTTAAGTAAGGTAGCCAGAACTGATTCACATAATGGCCAAGTTCCAAGGGCAGCAAGAACAAAAGCTGCAAAGTTCTCTTGAGATGTAATTTGCAATCTGCATGCTGTCACTCTACCACATTTTGTTGGTCAGAGAAAGTCAAAGCCAGCCCAGATTCAAAAGACAGGAAAATAGACCTCACCTCCTTTTTTTTTTTAGATTATTTATTTTAAGAGAGAGAAAGTGGGGGAAGGGCAGAGAAGAGAGAGAGACAGAGAGAGAGGGAAAGAATCCCAAGCAGGCTCCACGCCATCAGTGCAGAACCTGATGCAGGGCTCAAACTCACGAACCATGAGATCATGACGTGCCGAAAGCAAGAGTTGGATGCTTAACCAACTGAGCCACCCAGGCGCCCCTAGACTTCACCTTTTGAAAAGAGTTATAAAGTGTCGTGGCCACTTATGCAGTCTACCACAGTCTTCATGCACTGCCACAAGGGCCTCTTTACAAGATATCAAGGGAGAGGAAAACATGAGGAGAAAATGATTCATTAATAAACACTTGTTACTCTGGAGGGCCTGGCAGCTCTGTCTCCTCAGTAGTTTTTGAATTACCCGTGGAGATGAACATTCCAAACCTTGACAGTAATTACAAGGAAAACATGATTTTTTTAGTGTACACTCAGTTTCAGAGTAAACAATCCCCCCACTTGTTTTTATTTCCACCTCATTTATATGCAAATTATATGACTGAGTGTTGGATTATATGCACTCCTGGCTCAGATCAATTCACTGGTATAGTCTTCTTAAAATAATGGCTTTGTTTTAAAAGTAAAAGAACTAAAATATAAATCTTGATGAGGAACACATCTTTGATAAAAATTGAAAATAATAAAGGAAATAAAGACCCCATAAGTTATATTCTCTCATGACCTAGGACGAATGTTCTTACAAAACAGGAATGGATCTAAGTGAGGTATCAAAATATGACTCATTAGAACTGGGAAGGTACTTAGAAGTCAGCTATATCTTTGCAACTTATGTCATTCATTGTTTCATTCACCAAGTATTTATTGTGTCTGCAGTTCACAATTCTAGCAAGAATCAAGTGTTTAAGACCCAGAGGGGTTTAGCGACTTATCCAAGTACACCCAGCAAGTAAGAAGCAAAGTCAAGACTCCCGGCCAGGTCTCAGCAGTGACTTTCACCTCTCTGAGTTTCAGTCTCCTCATCTCTTAAAAACCAAAATAAAAATAAGATTATCTAATAACAACTGCCATTATTATCTACACACTTATTTGTGCCACTTTTGTAGACACGTTATGGGCATGAAGACCTCAGAACAAGATATTTTTTTATTCCTCCCATGTTACAGATGAAAACTGTGAGGCTTGGAAGATGAAATAATCTGTCTCAGGTCACATCACTGGTAATTGGTGAGCAAGGATTTGAATACCGGTCGTATCAATGCAGAGAACACACTTTTAATCTTTAATAGGATCACCTGGGAGAATTTTGTTAGATGTGTACCCCCCAAAACCTTGCACAGAATAGATGCTCAGTGAATATTTGCTGAATTTAAGTCAGTAAAGATATGGCCAATTTGTGCAATCAGCTAACGTCCAGAAACATTTTTCAAGCCAAGAAAGTATCACACTGATGTACTAAAAGCTTCTAATGAGAACATTAGCTGCCAATTAGACACATAAACCATTACATTGGGAACAAAATGGCCGGCACATGGACACAATTTGCTTTTTGCTAATTAGTATGAGGTTCATCCCAGCAGATGTTAGGATGAACCACCATTACTAACCAAAAATTGACATGTCAGACCTTGGCTTCAAGGGCTCTTTTCTTCCTTCCAGTGAGACTGGTAACTAAATAATTGCACGAATGCTACTGGGTGGTGATGTCTGGAATGAGACCATAGAGTCCAAATAAGGGGAGTAGTTCAGAAAAAAATGAAAAAAGAAGGAATTACCTGGGCTGTGAGATTGGAAATTATAAGGTAGTTTGACAGTTGAGAAACACTTAACTAAACTGCTGGTGCATAAAAGGGTTGGAGCTTCCAAATCAGAGACAATATGGGAGGTTGAGTGAGGCAGATGGCCATACAGCTGGAATGCCAGTCTATATGTCCCCAATGCTCTTTATATTTTCTGACATTCAGAGCACAGGCTAGTATTATGATGATTATCATCATGCCTATAGCTGGGAATGTTCTGAGCATTATTGGCCTTATTTTTCTTCAAGAACAAGTTGGTATAACCTACATCTTGGGAATACACGTATAGTCAGACAGACTAGGCTTGACTTTCAGGTCTAGTTCAATATTTGTGTACAGAGTAGGTACCTGGCCTTTACCCACCCCTAGTCATGTTGAAGACCTGGAAACTTACAAATAGAAGCTATTTTTTATTTATTTTCAGTGAGCCCCTAATACAACACTAGGTACATTTAGATGGCCATTAATTACAAATTGGCCTCTTGATCAAGAACCATAAGCATCAAAGTTTAAATGGGAGAGGTTTTCATTAGTATGTCAGTTTGAACTTAGTTCCTTTACCTCCTTAGTCTGATTCCTTAGTTGCTACCTTTTCACTAGGAATTTTCTATGGTTCAGGGATGATATTTCTCAGATGAGAAGTATGTTCAAATAATTTGATTCTAACTTGTGACATTACACCAAAGGAACAGACATGCAAAGGGACAATAAATAAAATGATAATTACATACTTAATAAATGAGATAGCCTAAAAATCAAGCAATCTGTGAAATGAGGACCCTCTCAAGATCACCTGTACATGTACCATACCATGAAGTATGGAGATGGTGGGGTGCCTGGGTAGCTCAGTCAGTGAAGCATCCTACTTTGGCTTCGATCATGATCTCATGGTTTGTGAGATCAAGCCCCATGTCGGGCTCTCCACTCTCAGCATAGAGCCTTGCTTAGATCCTCTGCTCCCTCTTTCTCTGTCTCTCTGTCTCTGTCTCTCTCCCCTGCCCCTCATCAAAAATAAATAAACATTTTTTTAAAGTATGGAGATGGTACTCCATTGCCTTACAGGAGGCCTAGAATCTAACTCACAGACTGGTTGCTGTTCCAATCACATGGGCGGCCCAACACCACAAGAAAAACCCTTTCCTTCCCTGTGACAGAGCCTGACCATACGTAGGAGATGAAACCTCCATCTCAGGATACCGAAACAGTGACGTGTGACCAGAGGAAAAGAATGGGGACCCCAATCGGCTAAACTCTATGGCTGGGAAAATTGATTTCTTAGCACCAGCTATTCCAAGGCTTGGCGAATCTGGCCTCCAAAACCCAACTGAATTCTCAGCTTTAAAGGAATTTGCTCTCAGAAGTGCCTGTCTCAACCTCCATTTTGAAAAATTGATGACCTTTTTTTCCATAACCCATTAATCTGCTCAGGTCCCCAGAAGGGGCCTGAGTCTTTAGCCAAAATATTTTCATTCTAACAGAGGGGAGCTGTGAGGGGCTGCACCCCAATTTAATCAAGCCCACAGGTCTTTCAGACACTGCAGCTAGCAAATAGCCCCAGAAAGGCAGCAGTCTTTAAGAGAAAGAAATGGTTATTGTGAAATTTAACAGAACGGTATGAATGATAATAAAAACATATATTGAAAACTTGCAGTTAGTAAAGAGAACGTAAGCCTAGTTTGGGAAAATAGAGACTATGTCCATTATTATTATAGATATTCAAGAGGTTATAATGTACACGTTTATCTTTTCCTTTTAATAAAACTCTTAAAAGCCATGGCAGAAAGTGTCCTATGTGACTGCCCAAGGTCAGCCCTGTAGACAGTTGAGATAGCTTTCCTCCACATCAACTCCAGGATTCACTTCTCTGGACAAAATTGGATGGCATTATCAAAGCAAAAAAAAAAAAAAAGAAGAAGAAGAAGAGATTGTTTCTCAAAGTGGAAAGCTTTGAAATAAAAAGTGTTTGGCAGTAATAGGTGAGAGACTGAGCACATTCTGCTATCTGAGCATGTATGAAAGGGCCCCAGTTAAAAAAAAAAAAAAAAAAAAAAAGCCAGTGCAAGCATGGATTTCCCTTTAGTGGTAACAGGTTTAAAAAAACACACACACACTGCATTTTGAGTGTCTGATTTTGGCTAATATTCGAAGGAAACTAGAAACACTAAGTAATGTACAGAATTGGTGAATCACTATATTGCATTGTATGATACACCTGAAGCTAATATAATACTGTATGTTAATTATACTCTAAAATATTTTTAAAAAGCAGTGTTCACACCCTAAGCCTGAGATTGCACAAAGGCCTGTGATCAAAGCAGAAATGGACATAGTACAGTCAGGGGTGGAGAACAGAAGAGAAAACCTTCCCGGGAGCATCTACTTTGCCAGTCCTGGGGACAGCAGTGTGCTGGGCCTCTGTTACTCCAGTCTATAAGAGTGGTTCAAATATCCTGGGAGGTGACTGTCATCAAGAATTTATAGAAACTATGATGATGGTGTCCTCTCTGTGGCTTTTCCCACTAATTCATGGGACTGTAAGAGGAACCTGTTTCAGACCCTATTGATCCTTCTTGTTACAAGCAATTAATCATGTAGGTTTTCTGGCAACTGGATTGCTAGGATACATGGGGTGAAGCAGTACAAACTGATTCTGATGAAGTTGAGCAGAAGACAGAAAGGGGAGCAGGAGAGAAAGGAAGCCTCTAGGGTAGACAAGAGATTGAGGGCAAGACTAAGAAACCAGCCCATGGAAAGGTTAGGGGGCAGGGGGCATCTGAGCAACCAGCAGCAAGAATAGACATTCTTTTCAAGAGATATCCATCTCAGGAACTATCCTGGTGATGATTTGGCTCAAAACAACATTCCTAAGAGAGAATCTTCCTGTCCTGGCTTAACTGCTGGGAGTGGGGGCCTTTTGATCGCTAAACCTATGAAGATGGAAGGGAGTGAGGGAGGAGTAGCTGCATTGGTGGTTTCAGCTTTGGTCTATCAGATCCACATCACTGGATGGCACTGACACCCTCTCCTTTTTCTGGTTCTCTTTCAGTCATCAAGGAAATTTTTTCCCATCACATTCTTCGGCTCCATCACCTGGATCGCTGTATTCTCTTACTTGATGGTCTGGTGGGCACACCAGGTAAGACCTTAATAGTAACACTCATCCTTCTGGTTCTTTTGATAGTTGCCAAATGGTTAATCAATGTGTTTGCTTTTGGAAAGTGTCAGACTCGTATCATGTCTGACAAGGTACATACTCCAGGACTAAAAGAATTTTATTCCACTTCCCTTTCCCATCCCTCCTGGCCTTTTCCTCTAGCATGGAGTCAAATTAGCATAGCCCTGGACCGCCATGTGGAAGAAGGCACCCTATCTCGTCTTGCTGTCTGCAACCTGAATCCAGGCCTACCCAGGTCTGGGAGGAATGTCAGGTTTTGCCTGACTCCAGGATACTCACTTCCTCTTGGGCAGCCACTCACCTCATGTTCTCACCAGCCTTTCAGATTGGCCCTAGAAAAAGAACTGGAGACAAAATGGTCTCTTCCTTGAACCTCAGTATACTATAATGATGATGTATTTTGCTTTTACCACTTTTAACCCAGTGCCAGTTATAGTGCCCATCACAAGAATGAACTCTCAGGAATTGTTTGTTGTAACACACAGATGAAAGAATGAAATGCAAAAGTTTTACATTCTCAGAGATAACAGTGGTAACCATTGTTGATTGAACTTGTACCAGATGCTGCATAATTCCCATCCTTTTGTCCTTGTGATCTTGACAGTCACCCTGTACATAGGCACAAATTCTATCAAGGAGGTGCTATTATTATCCACATCTATAGATCAAAAAGTTAAGCTTAGAGCTAATAATAAAATTGCTTGGGATTATATAGGTAGTAAATAGCAGAACTGAGATTATAACCCAAGGCTCTGACACTCCAGAACTCATGCTTTTAATGTCTATTATAAACTGCACAAATTTCAAACTTCCCACATATATTCTTTGCTTAATATAGTCTTAAAATTATACTTGTTAGCATAAATAAAATATAGCAATTTGAAATAAGGAAATGTGAGAACATATGTGGATATATCAAAAATGGTGCTTGAAATAATTGTTTTTTGATATGCCAAAATAAATGAGCTTAGGCCTTTACCTTACACTCTACTCGAAAATTAACTCAAAGTGGATCATAGGTCTACATGTAAGTGCCAAAACTATCAAATGTCTAGAAGAAAACAGAAAATCTACATGACCCATGAGTTAGGCAAAGAGTTCTGTGATATAATGCCAAAACATGATCCATAAAAGAAAACCCTAGTTAGTTAGACTTCATCAAAAGTAAAAGTTATGCTTTTCAGAAAATACCAGTTAAAAAATTAAAAGACAAACCCCAGACTGAGAGAAAATATTTACAAATTATTTACATTTGATAAGGCACTTGTATCCAAGATACATAAAAATCTCTTAAAGCTCCATAATAGAAAGGCAAAGGGCACCTGGCTGGCTTATTTGGCAGAGCATGCAACTCTTGATCTCAGAGTCATGAGTTCAAGTCCCACGTTGGGCATGGAGCCTACTAAAAAAAAAATAATAATAATAGAAAGGCAATGTTTAAGATGGTCAAAAGATTTGAATAGATATTTAATCAAAAAAGATATGCAAATGGATAATAAGCACAAAAAAACATGGTCAACATCATTATTCATTAGGGAAATGTAAATCAACACCACAAGGAGATGCCACTTCACTCTCAGGATAGATATAATAAAAAAGACAGATAATAACAAGTATTAGAGACGCTATATTGAAACTGGGGCCCTTATATATGGATGGTAAGAATGTAAAATAACGCAGCCACTTTAGAAAACAGTTTGGCAGGCCACAGAATATTAACCATAGAGTCATCTTTTTTTTTTTTTTTAATGTTTTATTTATTTCTAGGAGAGAGAGAGACAGCGTGAGCAGGGGAGGGTCAGAGAGAGAGGGAGTCACAGACTGAAACAGGCTCCAGGCTCTGAGCTGGCAGTCAGCACAGAGCCTGATGCGGGGCTCGAACCCACGAACCGCGAGATCATGACCTAAGTGAAAGTCGGACGCTTAACCGACTAAGCCACCCAGGCGCCCCAACCATAGAGTCATCTTATGATCCTGTGATTTCACTATCTGTGTACCGAAGAGAAATGAAAACATGTACACAAATATCTATATACACGTGTTTACAACAGCATTATTCATAATTGCCAAAAAGTGGAAACAACCTAAATGTCCATCAACTGATGAATGGATACAAAAACTGGCCTATCCACACAATAGAATATTCCACAATAAAAAGGAATGAAGCACTGATACATGCTACATATGAACGAACCTCTAAAATATTATGCTAAATGAAAAATGATGGTCACAAAAGATCATATGTTGTATGATTCCATTTATAGGAGATGTGAAAAATAGGCAAATCTATAGACACAGGAAGTAGTTAATGGTTGCCTAGGATTGGGGAGGTTGGAGGGAAGGGGGAAGTGACCACTGTTGGGTCCGGGGTTTCTTCCTGGGATAATGAAAAAGTTCTAAATATAAATTATGGTGATAGCTATTCAAGTCTATAAATATACTAAAATATGAATTATATACTTTAAGTAGATGAGTTTTAAGTTATGTGAATTGTATTTCAATAGAGCTATTTAGAAATAAACACAAGATACTACTTCACAGTCATTAGGATGGCTATAGTCAAAAACACCAACATAAGTTGGTGAGGATGTGGAGAAATAGGACTGCATACCTTTATCAAAAATTCTCAGAACTACGGCCCCTGGGTGGCTGTTGGTTAAGCTTCCAACTCTTGATTTTGACTTAGGTCATGATCTCATGGTTTGTGGGGTCAAGCCTCAATATAATGCAGAGCCTGCTTGGGATTCTCTCTCTCCCTCTCTCTATTCCTTTCCCATGACATCTGCATGCTCTCTCTCAAAATAAATAAATAAACTTAAAAAGTCTTACAGAACTATTTTTAGAGAGTGAGTTTTACTGAATGTAAAATTAGACTTCATTGTATATAAACTACACCTTATATTTTAAAAAAATATATAATGTTGAAAAAATCTGCTGGATATGTCAGCTAATATACCCACTATTATTCCTACAAGATACTTTATATTATTCCTACCCTAGTTATTTTATGATACTTGACTTCAGATTATTCTTCCAGGATAGTTTCAAAAAATTGTTGACTCCCTGAAGAAGTTCCACTTGGCCCAAAGTCATGATTTTCCACATTCATTGAAAGTCATTTGCCACCAAAACTGCACAGAAATCTTTGTAGACAATGAGCTCCTTCTCAGCCTCCAGATTTCCAGGCTAGAAGGATTTTTTGCCATTTATAACATGCAATGGCTTTTCTTAATAGCTATTTTCATTCTTTAATGTACCTATAAAGAAAAAAGTAGTTTTTATTCTCTTATTTTCTAGATATCTCATATTATTCTGCTCTTTTTAATGATTATCTTAATTCCATAGTCTAGCTTCCTTTTCATTCTCTTGTAGAAAAATACAAACACAATACCAGGAATAATATTACCAAAAGGCCCAGAAATATAGAGAACATAAAGAGAAACCTTACCTTCTAGTAATGAATGGGAAGTTTCTCTGTTCTTTCTCCCACAGAAATGTTTTTCTCTTTTAAGACATCCAGACACCTGATCAAAATAGCACATTCTGTTCTAAGAAGTTTGGCTCTAATTCTGTTGTTTGTACAGAATTTTTTGAGCTATAAATGCCATAAAATAACAAATACACATTTAGTGCTGAATTATTTTTTTATCCACTTACCAACAATAAGTGCTATTTAATATCATTACTTAGCTACTGTTTTGCCAGAAATAAATACCCCTTAGATTAAATGCTTTATGCATGCTTCCCCTTAGTTTTTGTTACTTTTTATTCTTTTTGTATCATGAAATAGTAAATTTCCTGAGTGACGAAAACATGGTTAAAATCCATTCTGCATCTAGTATGAGAAGTTCATTCTAAGAGTTAATATGACCCTGTGTCTCATTTAGCCAATATGATATTTTTGTGGTTGCTCTTGAAACCAATATAAGGAACTGCAATTATGCAATGTTCGGAGCAGCACTGGATTTGGATTCTGAGTGGCCCCATCATTTATTTCGATTGCAAAACAAAGGAATCCCCCCCAAGAGACTGCTGACGTCCTTTCTAGCTCTAAACTTCTCTGATGCTGCCAGTTTGATCAGTGCTGTCCCATCTACACGCCGCACCTATCATCTTGTCTCTTGCTTGTGGAAAACTGAAGTCAGTGAAGTGTTCTTAAAATGTGCCTATGAAGGCTCGGTCTCAGACAGCAAAAGTGTTTCTAGAACCACGCAGATTCACCAAGAGTTTGACATACAATTAAAAAGTCTTCATTATTCTCATGATTTCCCACATTACAGACTAATGCCTACTAAGCCAGGTGCCAGAGCCCAATGGCTGCAGGCTGATAAGTTGGAGAGGGAGAGGAGTAGTGTCTCAGTTATCATAGCTGACTGTTAGTGAATATTCCCTTGATACCTGACACCTGCTATTTGCTCTGTATGCATCATCACATATAATCATCACAACAACTCTGAGGATGGATGTTATGATCCCCATTCCACACATGAGAAAAACCGAGGCTCAGGAAAGCTAGCTACCATGTACTAGGAGTGGCAGGCTAGGATTTGCACCCATGTCTCCCCTGTATCCAAGCCATCACTCATAACCACACCCCCATTCCACCCCCCTGCAATTTCTGCATTTTTTCTGCCTATGGAGTCATTCCGACTCCAAATATAAACGGTGTTTTAAAATAGCCACTGCTTTCAAACTCCCTCAAAGAATCACCCTGTTTATTGGGGGTGACAACCATTGACTCAGCATCTTCAGAGTCTCTGAAAATGTTTCACTTAAGATCTAACTCAAAAAAATAGGTCAGCAAGGAGAGGTTTGCTCAAATAGGGCACTCCTGTGCAGAACTCTTACTTAATTTTTTTCTAGGGGAATCAGCAGAAAACACACTAGGGAAATCACCTAAGTACGTAGATGGAAATAGGTATTGAGAGCCTACTAAATACAGCTATGTTCTGTGTATCAGAGAGATGGTAGTGATCAAAGTAGGAATTCTGCTTGCATGGGACTTCCTTTCTGATGGGGAGCAGTGAATCTTTGCTCTGTGAGGCCAGGATAAGTTAGTTCTGCTAGCCAGGCTCTAGAGCAGGCGTGACCATCAAAACAAAAATAGCTCCCAACCATGCTTTTAAGTTAGCGGAAACCAAGCTATTACTTACAAATCACAAAAGATATTTTGAAATGTATTTATCCCAGGGGTGCCTGGCTGGCTCAGTCAAAAGAACATGTAACCCTTGATCTCAGGGTCATGAGTTCAAGCCCCACATTGGGTATAGAGATTACTTAAAAAAAATTAAAAAAAAAAAAAAAAAAAGAAGGTCACCCCGGTGGTTCAGTTAGTTAAGCATCCAGCTTCAGCTCATATCATGATCTCAAAGTTCATGGGTTCGAGCACTGTGTTAGGCTCTGTGCTCTGGAGCCTGCTTCAGATTCTGTGTCTCCCTCTCTCTCTCTCTGCCCCTTCCCCTGCTTGTGCTCTGTCTTTTCCTCTCTCTCAAAAATAAATAATAAACATTAAATTTTTTAAAAAAAGAAATAAATAAATGTATCCTATTCCCTAAAAGCCCTTATACTTACATGCTACTCTAGCCTTCTGCGTTTTTTTTTTTTTTTCAAAAAATAATGAATGTCCTAGATAGGCTGTTGAAAACTAAACCGAAAGCACTATCTTAAAAGTTTTCAGAACTTCAGTTCACCAACTCCAGAAGATACTTAAAGCTTTTAAAAGTCCCAAGAAGACAAAAAATTGGCTCACGAGAATGAAGGAGCCTCCATCTGAGATTAGATCAACTGTCCAAAATAGACTGCATCAGTGTTAAAAGGCAAAGACCAAAATAAAATGTAATAACCATCCCCCATCATTTTTCAGTAATGGTGTACTATTTACGAAGAGGTTTTCCACAAATGATCACATAGTCCTCCCAACCACCTTGTATGGTAGGTTTTATCATCCCCACTTTAACAATAAGAAAGCAAGGATCAAAGATATTATACAATTGGTTAAGTTAATAACAGGTTAAATTCTTAATAAATGCCAAAGCCAGACCTTGGACTTCTGATTCTGTAACTGACGGTTTCTCCACAGTTGCCCTGCTGATTTTCAGTCATATGTCACCAAGCCCTGAAACACCCCAAATCAAGTTTCCTATGGAAATGATAGTATAAAGGTGTTTAAGAGTGGGTTACAGAAACTAGGAGATGTCAAAGAAAAATGGGAACACTGGATATCAGTCCTTAATCTTTGATTGTTAATCCAAAGGCAAATTTGCTACAGGATTTGGTACCATTGTCAGCTCCTGGCCTCTGGAGCTAATGGCCAGTTGGGTTTTATAACTCTCTTCTTCTGCCTCCCTTGCACAGTCTCACTAGATACCAGATAGTGACTGCACTCACTATAGCTCTTTCTTGAGATTATCTGTTCAATCCTGGTGTGAACATTCCTGATCTCTTGGGTCTGAATATGATTAAAGTGTGACCTCCTCTATGGCAGTGATGGTGGCTTACTCTTCTTTATCATCTCATCAGTCCGCATAGCACGGATAGGAATTCATTACAAGGGAGCCGCATTGAAACATTTGTGGGTACGATGGTTTTGTGACTTCGGACATTCATATGTGTCCCTATTGTTACTTTTAGGTTGGTGAGACAATTGGCATTAGTGAAGAGATTATGGGTCTGACCATCTTGGCTGCCGGAACCTCCATCCCTGATCTTATCACCAGTGTCATAGTGGCCCGGAAGGGGCTTGGGGACATGGCTGTGTCCAGCTCTGTTGGAAGCAACATTTTTGACATCACCGTAGGGTGAGTAGAGGTGGCTTTATGAAGGTGCACACACCAGCTCTTTTGCTGTCTTTGTCCTCTAAAGGCTGTGGAGATGTAACCAGGATCTTTGAGCCCAAAATTAACCAACCAATAGAAAGTAAAGACTGGGAGTAACATTCAAGTTCAATAACTCTAATTTTAATTTTCAGAGACCTTAATGAAGAATAAGTTATCCCTAGGTAGGCAGAAACACATGCCTACATACAGATTGGATGTTGTAAGAAATACTTTCAGAATTTTGCTTATATAATGGTATTGGCTACAAGTTATGAATATTCAGTAGTCAGGTATGATGGAGATAGTTTTACTACATTTTTTCCCATATCCTAATTCTAATTAAAGTCCCCACCAGCCCGGATGAGATTTGGATTATAAAACAGATTGGAGCAAGCAAAAATATCCCATCTCCTTCTTTGGAAAATGCTGGCAGGTTTGGCGTTATCATTTATGTATGCTGCTGATAAAGATATTCTAAGTTTTTTGAAAGTCAGAAGATGAGATCTGTTCTTATGGTTAAGCAAATGGTAGTTCTCAATATGAATAGTCCCTAAAGTGGATCGGATTGGGGCGGGATGCTCTTCTCTCTGTCATTTCATTTAACTTGTCAGAAGTAAAAGTAGTCTGATGAATAACCCCGAATGAGAGAGAACCCCTGAGAAGGTAAGACATGGGGTGTTTTCCTTATGTTCCCAGAAATGGACTCTTGACACCTGAATATAGAAACTCATTAAAGCAGATCTACTTTTTCATTGAACATTTTGAATACTCTTCTCTCTTGCACTTTTGCATTACCTGTGTTTTCCATTCAATGTCTACTTTGGGCACTGTAAGTACCTTTTTATCCATTTAAGCCACACAGTGATCCTGTGACATATGTATGATGATCCCCCATTCTTCAAGCAAGGCAACTGAAGAGCGCAGAGTTCACAAAGCTAGTAAATGAGATAGCTGGGGTGTGGACACTGTGTCTCTCAACGACAACACTACCTGCATGCAACCCTGCCTGCCCTGAGCCCCCGCTGTCTTTACCACCTTTGAATCCCAAATGTTCCCTCTCCTGCCATTATTTCCTTCCTTTTCAGGCCCCTCTCACATGAGATCCTTCCCTGCTTGTCTGCTTGGAAAACTCTAACTTACCCTACCAATGTCAATTCAAATTTCAGCTTCCCCCATTCCCTTGGGCCTGACCAGGGAGTTCTGTGTACTCTCTGCACAATGTACTCTTGTCATGGTCATGTTTATCAGTCTGCCCACCAGACTGTGAACTGCTCAGGAGCAACAGCTCCCTAAAGCCTAATACGATGCCTAATGCATGGTGGTGCCTTGACAGATGTGTGCAGACTGAATGAATGTATGATGAATGCCTTCAAAGGTATATGTTTTAAAGGAAGGGTACCTCTAGTAGAAACGGTGTTTCTCAGTTCCACCGCTTACACATTTAGAGTAGTTTTCTTGGTCGGTATCTTCCAAGAAGGAAAATGAGATGTGCAATAGTATAAAGAAAGACAACCTTACAAGTCGGGAAAAATTATAGGACGTATTTGTCATGTCTTTGAAAAATAAATAGTCTAGGGAATTGCAAGATGTTTTTTGTTCCCTGTTCTTAAACTGGATATATAGTAACAGGTTAAATGAAAGTTTAAAGAAAGATAACCCGTAACCCTACCAGCCAAAAACAACATTTACTTTTTGTATGTTCTCTTCCAAATATTTCACATAGTTTTCCAAGTGAATATTCAGTTTTGTCCTTTTGGGGGGCTTTTATTTTTCTATTTTAAAGCCATTTATGCCTTGCACAAAGTCAGCATCTGTTAGTAAATTAGTCAATCAACTATTTCTAAGTTCCGTTTTAACTCTCATAAATAACATTTTATCACTTCGCAATATTTCATCCTGTGGGTTTTCAGTTTAGCCATTATTTTTTATTTTTTCCAGTTTTCTGCTATGATGGGTGTTTTGATGAAGACCTTAACGCAGAAAGTATCTTTTAATTATTTTTATTAGGATAAACTCCTTCAAGAAATATTAATGCATTAAAGATTGTGGGCATTTTAATGGCTATTGATGTATATTTTTCAAAGAGGTCTTTCTCAAGAGTTTATACTGATTTATGAACTTAATAGCAATACATTGAGTATAAAAGGTATTTTATCATCTTGCTGGCCTTTTCTCTATGCTTATAATATTAACATATACTCATGGTAAAGGATGAGTATTAATATATACTCATGGTAAAGGAATTAAGTGAATACATATAAAGCATAAATAAAATTCAATGATAATTCACCACCCTGCTTTAGTTCATATGTAGTTTACTTTACTGAAAATACATTGCTATTTTTATGTGTATCCTTCATTTTAATGGTAGTATCGTATCATGAGTATTTGCCTCCATCATTATAAGCTTATAATTTTTAATGGCTATATAGCACTAACTTGGCTTAATAGTCTGTTATTTAACTTGTGTTTATTATTGGAGATTAAGTATCCCAAATTTTTCACTACTCTAAATAACACTGAATGGTCATTTTTCTGAATAAACTTATATCTGCATTTCAAATATTTCTTATGCTTGATCCCTGACAATAGGATCTATAGGTCAAAAGGCATGAATAAAATGTCATTTTTTAGTACAAAAGGTTGTTTCCTATTTGTAGTGCCATCAAGCACAACTTCACCGGAACCAGATATGTAAGTGGGCATGTTAATTTAAGAATATGAATACAGTGGTTTTGGTCTTTTTCTTCCTATGAGAATGCAGGTGTGGAACAAGAGCTCCCCAGGACAGATCCCTAGTGGAGGTTTTCATTTTTGAGCACTCCACCCAACACACACACACACACACACACACACACACACACACACACACACACTCCCACTTTTCCTGGCTTTACATTACTGACAGGAGGATGCCAGGGCTGCCCCCTCCTGCCGAGAGCTGAAATTGCACCATGTTCCCTGAGCTGGCTGGTGGAGCCCCTTGCCTTCTGACATCTCTGAAGTGAACGCCTCCAAGCTAGGCTCTAGTGGGCAAACCGCCTGTACTGACTACCCTGAGGCAGTTGCATCAGTCACCTCAGCTTGGCCCAGATTAACATATGTACCCAGATGGGGGGCTGCATATGCCAGGCCCTGGGTATCCAAAGTTACACAACTCACGGCTCTACCGTCACATGCTCTCTCCAGTTGAGGAGACCAGATGTGTCAACTCACTACTCCCTTCACCTCATTATTTCTCTCAAGCTCTTTGCTTTTCCTGTGGAGAACTTTGTGTTTCAAAAGGGCACTACCTCCTCTTCCATATTCCTGAGATCAGGCCAAAATTCAATCTCCCTTAGCCAAAGGCTAAGGCTCTGCAGACGCCTCACCCAGCTGAGGGGCTAGGTCCTTGTTTCCCTAGCCACCGTTCCATCCTTAGGCTCAGTGGCTAAAACTGCATCTCGCTCAACCACCTGGAGATGCCCAGGCAACGTGAGTCACGTGGTTTCAGCCATTTTCCTCTTGCTCAGAGTCCTAACTCACTCTCAGGATGTACCTGGCAGTCAGCTTTTCTGATGTCTTCCAGAGTCGCCACTCTGGACAGAAAACAAAAGATGTTACCAGATTTCTAAAAGTCAAATGCAAAGGGAGACAACAGCTTTTTAAAAATCACATCACAAATGTAAGAAACTGCCTTCCTCACATCCTTCAGGAGGACCACTTCCTAGTCAAAAGGCTGTCCTATCTTTTCCAAAATAAACCTCAGACAGCTATATTGTATCATGTGTTGTATCATGTATCATTTGTTAGGTCAGTTGAGTCAGTGCTTCCATTCCTAAAAATAATGTTGCCATTTTCACTACTGATTTCCATGCCTTTTCTCCATTTGTCTTTTCCTTCTCCTGCCCTGTGCAAACCTTCCAGTCCACCATTTTTTGGGCTGAGAGCAACATTGGAATCTAACTAGAAAAGAAACACACAACTATTTGAAATCACATTTGGAAATCACCCGCAGTGGTCACAGCTTTGAGCTTACTCAGCTCTAGAACAAATTCTCCCTTCTCCCTAATTCAGTTAGGAAATAGACAATGGTTTTTGAAGTTCACCTGACTTCCTTAGGTGATTTCCTGGGCCAGCCACACACAAGGCATAATGAACCTAAAAAGACAACCCTTTGCGAATTAGAGATTCCAAGAAGCTGATGCTGTGCCGTATGCCTTCTTCAATTTGTCTGACTGCTCCCCCGTCTTCCCTCACAGGCTTCCACTGCCCTGGCTCCTATATACCATCATTCACAGGTTCCAACCAGTGGCTGTCAGCAGCAATGGCCTCTTCTGTGCCATTGTCCTCCTCTTCATCATGCTGCTCTTCGTTATCCTCTCTATTGCCCTCTGCAAATGGCGGATGAACAAAATTCTGGGCTTCATCATGTTCGGCCTCTACTTTGTGTTCCTGGTGGTCAGTGTCCTCCTAGAAGACAGAATTCTCGTGTGCCCTGTCTCCATCTAGTAGGAAAAGCCATATCCTGACCAACAGCAGGGATGGCCCCTCCCTGCCCTGGGTTCTAGGCTCCTTGACCTCTCCCTTGAAGAGGCAGCTGGCATACAGCCGCGGGCATTTCAAAGTGTGCCTCCCCGGCGGATGTGAAGCTGGATGGATTTACACTGGGCCCCCTCATTTCACAAGCTGCTGCCAGCCTTGCCTGCTGAAACAGCGCCGTGCAAGAGACCATGCAAGAACTGTCCTTTTGGGGCTTCCCTCCATTCGCCACAGACAGGTACTCCTCGCTGGTCGGAGGTACATTCATTGTAATGATGCAAACAATAACAGAGGCTCTCTCTATATATATACATACAAAATATACAAATTATAAATAGATGCACAGGAACATACCCCACCCTCGCCTGCTCCTGTATTATACCTCTCCTTTCCTATCTATAGAGTAATACATACCTATATACAAACACAAAGAAAAATTTTATATATACATATATAAAATCATCACATATATATAAAAACACAAATGCATCTTTTCAGGGATAGCTCTAGTATATTTATAGCACCTATTTGAAGAGGGGCATCAACCTTCAGTCTGAGCTTTACCTCTTTAGTGCAAGAGGTAAACGAATAGCATCATTGCTGTGACCTTCAGCCTACCTTGGACTTATTGGGATCCTGCCAGGTAAGGTGGATATTTTAGAGGAAAACGTTGTAGGACAGAGGGCTTGGTGGAGAAGGTCTGTAGGGATCCTGAGCTGAGACCTCCAAAACTTTCCCACCAGCTGAACAGTGAAGACTTTCTTCTCACCCCTGCTGGGGCACACTGACCAAAACCCATGGGGCCACTTGGGACAGACAGAGGTAAAACCCAGACTGGGTAGATATTGCTTTGGAGGCAGGGGAGAGGTGACCAGGATTGGGGTTTTTTGGATTTTTTTATATATATATCGCCCCAGCATGCAAGTAGAAAATGTAACTGCAAACCAAATTAGTGCTCTCCTAGAGCAATGAGACTATATAAACTGAACCTATACTGTTCTTATGCATGTCCCATTATCATCAAAAGGGGAGGGGGCAAATTTAACTGTGATTGTCATTTAGGTGTATTTTGATGCTAAGGGCTCACATATAATCAAAATGGCTGCCAAAAGAGCCTGGGATAGGTAATAAGAAATCTCATCCAGTAGAGGGGCTCAGTGGAACTTGCCACCTAATGGGAATATAAGGGCGTAGTTCTTTAAAGCACCTTCCAGTATGGTTCACAAAGGGCTTCAGTGTCTAAAGAAATCATTATTCTTGCAAAAGAAGTAAACAGAGACTGATCTATAGTGTTTGGGTTGAGGCAGCTTAGAGACGTTTGCAAAGGCACCCAGTGCACCAAGGAAGGTTTCCGAGGCCTGTGTCTAGTGGTGCAGGACAAGGATTTGGTTAGAGCCCATGCAAAATCTATGTTTCTCCTGCCATTAAGACCCTACATGGGACTCTTGCTAGCTTAGAGAGTCCACTGAAGATGTCTTCACACTGGCCTCAAGCCAGTCACTACAAGGTTTTGCTCAGCATTCGTGTGACATTTTCATTTCCTTCGTTACACACCCCCCAAATTCTGTTTAATACCTTGTATGATTTCTCAGATCTGTGTCCGTAGAAAATAAAACCATTGGGGGGCGGGGAGGGAGGTAAACTAGATTGATGAGAAAATACAGAAAGATTTTCATGTCTTCAAGTCATGCTTTCTTTACAATCCATTGAAAAAGTAGAGAATGGCCCATTATTCTGTACCCATCTTACATCTCAGCAGGCACATACCACGTATAATATGTGTTCTTATCTCCAGTTTACTGGGTCCCTGATGCCTGCCATGGTCCTGTTGTGAGCACATACCTCCTAACACAGGGAGACAGGATGCAGAACTTACAACTAAGTAGAGAGGGAGGGACACCTTGCGGCCCCAGATCAGGCTCAGTAGTCCTTCCGCAAAACCCCAGCTCACTCCACAGAGCATGGCTGGCAGGCAGTGTCCCTCATGGCCCTTCATCCCCAACAAAAAGCATTTCTGAGTGGAGGCTTACTTGGGAAAAACAAGAAATCAAGATGGCTGCCACACAGGAGGCAAGCCTTCGAGTCTCTCCAACTTGGCAAAGTCGGGTTTTTGGTTGTGTGAGAAAAACCCACGTCTCCTTCATCAAGGTCAGGATGTTGTATTGAGGCAAGAATTTGTGCTACTTTCTTAGAGGGAAAGAGAATGGGTGAGTGAACTTCTTGTTCAAAACTCTGGTTGGTTTCCCTGTGCATTACTTGAAGGGGAGCAAACGGGGTCATTGCATGAGTATATTTTATTGGCTGGTCTGTTATTCAAAAGAAGGTTTGAATAGGTGACTTTAACTCAACTGCACAGACTGTGTGAAATGAAAAAGGACAAGGGCGGCCCACTGCAGCCCTGTTCTTGTGCCAGCTCACTTGCTAATACTCCCCTGCCTCCTCACCCCCCGCATTGCCCCCCCACCCCCCACCCCAGTCATTCCCCTGTCCTAGGAAGACCCGTCCAGGCAGCCACAGAGCATTCTCCTTGCCTGGGGGCTCCATTCCATAGGAAGTGTTGTGGTCAGTGATGAGAAGTTGCACTTGAAAAGACAGTACTTCTGAGCCCATTCCCACCCCTGTGATGTGCGCTGAGCACAATAAATGACAGCAGTGTTCCCTGGCCAGCTGGTGTGCAGGCAACCTTCCCATCCCACTGCACAACCCCAGCATGTGTCCGTGGGGTGACATGTTGAGCCAGGGCAAATCCAGAGGGCAGTGTATAGAATGCAGCAGTGAATCTTTAGAAGCATTCAAACCACTAACATAATTATGAGAAAGAACTTTCCTGAACAGGTCATCTCTAATACTTCCCCTGCATGCCTGTGCATATACTTACATAAACACATCGTTATGCCACGTTTATATGTACACACTTACCTCATCTCTTACATCATCACCCTCTGACCCAGTCACCTTAAGGATTCAAAACCAGGGCACATCAAGTTTGTCATAATGAAGGAAAAGGAAAGTCATGCACACCAACACCCAAAGGGAATATTTCTTCCTGATCTTATAAGACTTGTTCTGTGCACGTGTACATACAAACCTACACATACGCCCCCTTCCCATGTATTGTCCCACCCCAAGAGTATACAAACAACCTGTGGAAATGGCCAGCCATACCCCTCATGCAAAGAATACACAACAGAAAATCTTGGACTGTAGATATTCTTTGCGCTCGTGTAGCTGGGTATATAAAGTAATATCAAAAATTCTAAAGCCAACTTCTTACTTCTCAATCTAAAATAAGCTATACTAGGGTGCCTTGGTGGCTCAGTCGGTTAAGCATCTGACTCTTGATTTCACCTCAGGACATGATCTCACGGTTTTGGGGATCAAGTCCCGTCTTGGGCTCAGCGCTAACAGTGCTAACAGAGAATCCCCTGCTTGGGATTCTCTCTCCCTCTCTCTCTAGCCCTCCCTCGCTTGCACACATGCACTCGCACGCTCTCTCTCTCAAAAATAAACATTTAAAAATAAATAAACAAGCTGTACCAGCATGACTCCATTGAGCCACAGCAAGCGAAGCAGGTGTTGCTTGCTGTCACCGCCCCTGTCGCCATTGGCAGCACCCACAAAGGAGAGGCAGCCTGGCTCACACCGAGAATGCCCAAATAAAACCTTTTAAATTGCATCTGGAAATGCCCACGCTAAATCTAGCTGCCCTCTGAACGTGACTAGTTCCTGAAGAATTGAGGCTGGAGATTCGATGGTGTTTTGCAGTGTTCCAGGGCCTAAGCTGGGCCCAGCAGTGATAGATCCGGAAGACACAGTCCATGTGCACAGACTAAGGGGTAGGGCTGTTTATCAATTTACCAGATGCAGCAGAATAGGCTAGAGCCTTGCCCAGAAGATTATAAAAAGAGGCAGGGACTGATTCCTATTCAGGGAAAATGCTTTGTAAGGCTTCTAACAGGTGTCACCTGACAGGGGCCATTATCATTTATTTTCTAGGAAACACATGAATCAGGTGGTTTGGAGGCCTTTCAGCAAAACACAGCTGCCTCACTGATGAGACATGTGATAATATTAATGTCCATCCATTCCTGGGCAGGGAGAGGGCTGGCAAACTCTCCACAGCTCTTTAACTCCTCTGCAACTGGGAGATAGGAGATGAGCTGTTAGGGAAGCCCCCCCGCCCACACCACCTTAACAGAAAGCTGGCCAAGGGAATGACAACACAGAGCTGCTGGCCAGAGAGGCAGTTGGAGGAGATGGGACTTGTGTTAAATGCTCTGCTGAAGTGCCTGGGTTGGAATATGCGAGAGGAGTCTGAGGACCGATCCAAATACAAGCATTTTAAGAAACTTCAGGATGCTTTCTTCCCTACACGTACAAACACACACACACACACACACACACACACGAGATTATGAGGCTGCACCTGGGCAGGTTGTTATTCCAGTAATTCAGTGGCTGTATTATAAGTGGCAGCTCTATTCCAGAAGAAATAAAGGGCAACTCTCCTCAGGGTGATTTCTGGGGAGAATCAGCTGTCTCCTGAAGGCTTGATATAGGAGCTAATGCTCATTCTCGTTAGCTGGATCTGATGTAACCACCTGGCTTACTATTTTTAAAAGACACATCCTCGGGGCACCTGGGTGGCTTAGTCGGTTAAGCGCCCGACTTTCGCTTAGGTCATGATCTGGCGGTTCGTGGGTTCGAGCCCCGCGCAGGCTCTGTGCTGACTGCCAGCTCGGAGCCTGGAGCCTGTTTCAGTCTGTGACTCCTTCTCTCTCTGACCCTCCCCTGCTCACGCTGTCTCTCTCTCTCTCTCTCTCCCCTAGAAATAAATAAAAATATTTAAAAAATATATTAAAAAAAAGACACATCCTCAACTCCTAAACCTTCCCTCAGCAATATTGTCTTTAATTAGTAAGTAAGGGCTTGCCGTGAAAAGAGAATTAGTGCAAAAATGAAGCATAAGGAAAAGGAAGAAAGGAAAAATTAATTTACTACAATTCCCGGGAAAATAGTGTCACACTGCTATATATCCCCATGTAGTTTAAAAGAATTACAGGGGCTCCTGGGTGGCTCAGTTGGTTAAGCATCTGACTTTGGACTTTGGCTCGGGTCGTGATCTCACATTTGTGAGTTCAAGTCCCACATTGGACCCTGTGGTGATGGCACAGAGCCTACTTGGGATTCTCTCTCTCTCCCTCTCTTTCTCCCCCTCCCCTGCTTGCTCTCTCTCAAAATAAATAAAAATAAACTTTAAATAAAAATAAAATCATTATAAACTTCAGGCTTTTTCCAACCAACTTCAAGAATCTGCATAGAGTCCCAGATAAAAAGATTTTCTCAAGGAGGCTTTGGTTACAATGTGCCCCTGCTCCACTGTCCATT